TTTCCTGCCTATGCAGGGGGTCGGACTCGATGATCTACTGAGGTCCCTTCCAACCCTAACATCTATGAATCTATGAACCTCACCAGGGCTAGACCACACCTTCTGGCTGCCTGCTCTCAGCCTTACAGTGGCAGACACCAAAAGTGTTCTGTCACACACATTCCCCCTTAAAATGGCTACCAGGGGGGGAGGGGGGTGTCTCCCTCTGCTCACCGTGCAGGCTCATCTGTTGTCTGCAACAGCCCACCAAGTGGCGAGCACCCCAATTGCGATCTGCCACACTGACCAACTGTATAGTTGAGAGAAATGTTTGTCAAACTTATGTATAAAATGCTCTTGCTCAGGTCTGGGAAAGAAGCAGCTACAATGGAAACTAAACACCAGTTAAAACAATTACTTTTGTTTAATTTCATTATGTATATGTAAATGAAAATGAAAATATTTTTTTCACATACATAATGGAATTAATACGGACTGCATTATTATTATTATTATCATTATCATTATTATAATATGGTTCCTGAACCAGCACTGCTACAATAACACTATAAACCTACTCTCCAGAATCAGAATCAGACTTTACTTTCTACCGTTGTTGACTGCAAAATCTACAGTAATACTGGATTTTCTTTTTTGACTTTCCCAGATACCCTATCAGTTAATATCTCTGACCATCAGAAAAGGGTCAGTAATACCTTCTTAAAGGGATAACCAACTTGTTTTTGTAGAACAAGGAGAGTATAAGTTTATAGTCAGTGATTTTTTGTTTCTAATAATTTTAAATTATGTTTTCAGCATACTGACTATAGTTATAGCCATTTGATTTTGTTACCCTTGCTGAAAGCAACACAGACCAGTATTTCAGTTGGATATTTCCTGTTCTATTCTTTACAGTGTGAAATATTATTTTCTAATCTACATTTGTTTTTGTAGCTGTTTACCAGCTTCACTTTTTTTTTTTTTTTTTTTTAACATGAGGATTATATTAATTGACCTGATGGTCTCACTCAGAGTAATTCTGTTGTCTTGCGAGACAGACAGATTCCTACTACTACTACCACCACGAAGATAAGATTGTGATAACCCAGGAGTTGGCAATTATTTTGGCTGGAGGGCCATTTACTGAGTAGCCCTGCTCCTTGATAGGTGCTCCGCCCCCCTGGTTGCCATCTTGGGACCGGAAGTCCCACCCCCTAATCCCTGACCTTTGCCACCAGAAGTCCCTCCCCTTGCTCCCAGAAGTACTCCTTTCAGCAAGGGGGTTTGCCATCTTGGAACCATAAAAATGCCAAATTATATTCTAAAAATCAAACTATAAAAAAAAAAAAAAAAAAAAAAAAAAAAAAAAAAAAAAAAAAAAAATCAAACATCTACAACATCCATTAATTTGATTTCAAAAAACATTTTTGTCTTGATTGATATGCGTTTGTGTAGTGTACATAGAGGTGATTGCCCAACAGCTTAAAATTAAGTCTTGTATATTGTTAGGGTGGGGTATGGGTGGGTGGGTATAGGTTTGTGGGGAGCTGTGGGTGTGTACGTATGTGGGGTGTGGGGGAGGGCGTGGGGTGAGGGTGCACATGGGTGTATGTGGATATGTGAGATGTAGGATTTGTGAGGGGCTGTGAGTGTGTTGGGGGAGGGTGGCTGGGGAGGGTGTGTGGCATGTGTGGAGGGGGAGGGTGGCTGGGGTATGTGAAGGGATGTGGGGGTCTGGATGCATGGCAGTGTGAGAGGGGTGTGTGTGTATGTGTATGGTGGGGTGTGTGTGTGGGCCTCACCCTACGAAAACACACACACACACACACACACACACACACACACACACACACACACACAGAGTCCCTCCCTCACTGTGCCCTCCCCCAGCTCCTGGTCCTGGGGCTCTGGCACAGCCCTGTGTTCCCACTTACCACCACTTCCCCCACACACCTGATCTGCCACCACTGTCCTTCTCCTTTCACTTCCACATCCCCACCCCCTGCCCCCCCTTCCAGCACCGTGTCCCAGCTGCACTGCATGGAGCCAACCCAGCCAGCTCCTACTGAGTCCTGTGGTATGGCAATGTAGCTGGGAACCACCTAGTGCCGGAGTGGCTGGGGGGGGGGGCGGGGGGGGGGGGGGGAAGAGTGAGAAGGAGCAGTGGCACTGGGCAGAAAAGCAGGGAAATGGCAGCAGCAGGTGGGGGGGGCAGTGGCAGTGAGCAAGAACGCAGCGACAGCTGGGTGGGAGTGCAGGGCCCATGTCAGTGTCCTGGGGCCAGAGCTGGTGGGGGCTCAAGGCGGGGGGGCGGGGGGGGGGGGCCCCGGCGGGGGGGGG